TTGACATCCTGTCACCTAAGTTTACTCCTATGATTGTCTGTAAACATTTATTATAGAAAGTAGTTATCCTTTTTTCTTGTGTCGTAGTAAGAGCCCAAGTCTCGCTACCGTATAATAAGACTGGCAATACGCAAGCTCTAAAAATTCGAAGTCTTGCTGTTATCGAGACTGATTTTCTATGCCATATGATATGTCTTAGTGAATTGAAAGCTTTAGAAGCTTTATTTAGCCTTATAGAAATCTCTGTATCATGTCGCTGATCTTTCGTTATAGTGCAACCTAAATATGTGAAAGATTCAGCTATTTCAATTTTCTGATTTCTAATAGTTATATTTATATCATTGCCATAGTTGATAGTTTGTCCTACTACAACCTTTTTCTGTTGATCTTTTTTCAGCTGTTGTAGTGACATCACGCACGTTTTTTTAATACTCATAGTCAAACCATATTGCTGTTTTACTTTTTCAAAACAACAAATGAATTTTTCTAGATCACATATTTTGTCACACATTACAACTAAATCGTCAGCATATAATAATGCTAATATGTCGAAATCAATGTGTTTTTCGTGTATTCCGTGATAGAAGTCGTTACTACCATAAGAGAATCTCACTCCTGATACAGCAGCTTCATTAATAACTTCTTTTATGATGAAGTCAAATAGAATGTTGAATAGGACTGGAGATGGAATACCTCCTTGCATTATCCCTGTATTCATTTCAAAACTATCAGACAGTTCATCATTTATTTTCACTTTTGCTATTGAATCTTTGTATAGCATTTTTAATAAGTTAACCAATTTATCAGTAATGCCGTAACTACGACATACTTTCCATAAAATTTCACGGTTCACTGAATCATAGGCTTAGTTATATCAATGAAACACATGAATAGAGGTTTATTGAATGCTTTTGTCTTTTCCATTGTCATTTTCAAAGTGAAAATCTGATCTATGGTCGATCTGTTTGATCTGAAACCAGATTGTATTTCTAATAGCTGACAATCTACTAAATCTTGAATACGGTTGAGTATAATACGTGAGGATATCTTACTAGTTGTATTCAGTAGTGCGATGCCTCTATAGTTGTCAAAAATTTTCCTATCACCTTTATTTTTGTAAAATTTTATTAGAGTTGTCATGTTCCATTCTTTTACCATGATTATATATACACGGTTTTTTACACAACTAAATAAATGTATTGCTAAAGTATTGTCTTCTATCGTTGAAAAAGTACGAGATTTTATAGATATAGCAGGAATAGTTTCATGCTTATAATAGTGCTATGAATATCACTAATAAGTTTTTTATTATCCATTGCAATATCTACTGAAAATCAAAGAGCCTGTAACAAATTTCAATTAATGAAAACATCTTATTGATTATCATACATATCATCATATTGAAAGACTAGCGCAAATTGAAAGCAAATATTATTAAAATAAAAGTTTTACAAGTAGATAGATCTATCGGATGAACTAAATTTCATAGTTTAGTGATCTTTAATTATATAAATTGTATCTGATAAATATATATCATTACTTTTTGGAAAACTGACCAGTAGGCGAATATTTCAGTACACTTTTCTTGCCTTTTCATTTCTTTCTTATCTTGCAATCCCTTCCTAATTATATTTAATCAGTAAATATTATTCTGTGTTGACAGTATCTAAATAATATCACACAGACTGAACTAATCATTAATTAAGTGATAATCAAATAGCTAAAGTTAGAAAAAACGGTTCTCGCAGTAAAAGATTGAAGAAATCAAGAACAGCAAGACTAATTATTCTTAGACGTTAAGATGTTCTAGTTGTTTAAGAGGGTCGCATTCACTTTGCCGGCAGGTACTGATTGTCGAAAATCACTTTACCGACAATTGAAATTTTACTAACAAATTATTCTGTCATCATTGTTTTGACGGTGTGGATGAGAGTGAAAATGAGAGTATATGTAATGGTAAGGATAAGGGCGTAGGTAAGGGTGAAGATGTAGTTCAAGATCACGGGTAAACATGAAAGTATAGGTGGGATGTAGGTGAAGCTTAAGCATAAGAATGAAAACACAGATGAGGGTGAGGAGAGGGGAAGGGTAAATGTGTGGGTGTAGGCGAATGTGAGAGTGAGGGTCTAGGTCAGAGAGCAGCGGGTCGACTTGGACCCGATCAGGTCTGAGTCCAAACGTTTTCTTTTTTTCACGGTTCAGTTCGATCCGGGTCTGAAAAAAGTGGACCTGCAGCTCGCTAGTGTGTGAGGATGAGGGTCACGGGGGCCGTGGCGGTTTATTATAAAGTATGATTCGGACTGATACCCTTAAGATTATGTTAATAAGACAAATTGTTAGTAAAACCGTAATTGTTAGTAAAACCGTAATTGTCGGCAAAACGTACCAGACCCGTTTAAGAACCAATATAATTTACAGTTCAAGCATGTAGAATATGCTCATGTTATCTTCGTCCAGACTCTATAGCTCTTGATCAATAAAAAAGCACTAGCAAAATTTAGCTCTATAGTTCAAAAGAACATTTTTCTCGTTCGGATAACATGGCATCATGCCGTCATTTTTTAAAAACAATTGTTTCAAACGGTCAAAAGATATTTAACTGCTGAAGTACAGTGTGTCAAGCCAAAAAAACATTTTTCTCTGTTCTTATCATAATGACCGTTCGACGAATTCAAACATTTATCTCGTGACTTTTCATTCCTACACATCTCATTAGAATCGATTATCGTTTATTACAATTAAAATAACTATTTTCTCACTAAAATGACCAAGCGACGTCATACTACTGGGGTTCGTGCACCATCAACAAATGCAGATGCTCGTGTACCATGTGCACCATTATCTGAAACACAATCAAGTGCAGCACTATCTGATCAACAATTAACTATATCATCTCGACGATCATCATCAACAACAACAACCACTGGTCAACAATCAACCACGTCATCTCGATCAATAACAGTAACAGCATTAGCTGGTGAACAATCAACCGCAGAATCTCGACAGTTAACAACGACAACAACAAGCTCTACTGAAGAGACTGCCAGAACATCACCAGCTGAACGAATTACAAATGATACAGTACATGAAGAACAGTCTGATTCAGTTGATCGAAAATCTCATGTATGGGAGTACTTTGAAAGATGTCAAGATCCTGAAGTTTTGAGAGCCAAGTGTTTCTTATGTGAAGACGAACTACGGACACCAAACTATGCAACGTCTAGTCTTATTCGTCATTTAGAACAACGCCATAATTTACAACAAGCTGCTCAAATTCAAGTTTTGCCTGTACAAACAAAATCCAACAAATTATCAAGAGCAGAAAGAAAACGATTGGATTCATTACCCATAAATGCTATTATTCAAGACGGACGATCATATGGTGATCTGCATAAATCCGGTATGAAGAAACTTATTGATGGCTTACAACCTGGTAAGACGCTTTCTTATTTTACTAAACGACTTTTTATAGTAAAAATGAAAAGTTTTCTTAAAAACTTTTCTGGTAGCCAAATAAGAATTTTAACAATATTTTATTAAACTGTATAACAGCTTTCGACATTTAATTAGTTAGTATTTTAATGAGAATATAGATATACGTATTGATCTACTCATAGTTGATAATATTCAGTAGAGAATTTTAGGGATGATGCGAAATAACAGGAATTATCACATCTTTTCGAATGAAAATCTAAACTTTAACTGTATAAGAATCAAAGTTATCAGGAATATCTTGATTTCATGTCATTATTGCAAGTTCTTCGTAAAATTTTATTTAATGAGCAGTGTTTCTCTTAATGACTGTGCATAGCATATTCAACTAGCATTTTCAAGAAACTGTCTAATCATACAGCTATTCCTGGCTCATAGCGTCGGGAACATCCTGTATATTGGAGACTTGAATCAAGAGCATTTTTAGCCTATATCGTATTTCGTCGAATGAGATGTCTCCGATATCAAACAGTGACATGAATCGTGACATAATATCAAAATATTGAGGATGCTTGGCTACATCGATTTTTTCGACAAGAAAAACTACCCATCAAATTTGTTTTTACTCGAATTTTTCGTGGATAATCCCAGGTGATTTGATATTTTGCATTTGTCAATGGTTTAGTGAGACCTTTCGATTTAGAGAACATAATTGAAAAAAATTCCGCGACGTCGTTGAAGTCAGTTTTGGCGAACTCTGTCTTAAAAACATCATTCTTTGATGCATCCATTCTGATCTAATCCTTAAATAATAAAGAACGAATGATCGAAAGACCCTTTACAGCCGAATGGTGCCATTTGGGAACATTCTACCACCGTG